AGGTCTCCCAAACTTTGTAACATTTGTTCTGTGCCGCACCGGCTTCCTTCGAGGGAAATCTCTGGAGAATCCTTCCAGAGTGATTTGAGATTTTGGGTTGGGCCAGCCTGTTTTGATAACCCCAAGAGCTGTTTGTCAACACTTTCCTTGGAGCTGCTGAAGGGGTTTTAGCAGAGCTTTTCAATTTTGCGTTTCTGAGGAATCCTGTCCTCGTTTTTCCCTCGGGAACGAGGTTGTTCTGAAATCTGAGCAGTGGATATATTAAAACGTGCTGGTACTTGGAAAAGTGACACCACCACCACCATCCTGGAGGTTTAAAGGCAATTATTTAACTTCTTAATGTGCTTTTCCTCTTGGGATTTTTGGTTCTTTTGGGGTTGTTTTGTTCTAAATCCCGTGAAAAGCTGAATCATGGAATGGTTTGGGTTGGAAGGGACCTTAAAGYTCATCCTGTTCCAACCCCAGCCGTGAGCAGGGACACCTTCCACCATCCCAGGCTGCTTAATTTAGGGCAGAGCTTGATGATCTTAAAGGGCTTCTCCAACCTCGGTGATTCTGTGACTCTGTAATTCTTTTTCCTTACAAAACAGAGGAGCCAGAGTGAGAAAATCATCCAGCATCCCATGATGGTGTTGGATTGCAGAAACACAGAGCTGTTTGGGTATTTTTAGCAGTTGAGCAGGTGAAATTGCTGTGAACTTGTTCCATTTAAAAGGAAATTAAAGGAAAAACGAAAGGATTTATTGTCAAGGGAAGCACACTATCCCTCTGAGCTGATTGCTGGAATGTTTGCAGAGGTTTTTTTTTCAGGMCAAAACTCCAGAGGCTCTTTGGAGGAAAACAGAGCAGTCAGAGGTGCTGGTGTGATGTGGGAGTGGAGCTCACAGGAAGTCTGGGAGCTCGGTGTGGCATGGAGTGTCAGTCAACTTCGGGAGCATCTTCCCTTCCCCACCCACGCCATCCTCATGGCTGGGAGCACAAATCCCTGCTCAAAATACCCTGTCCTGCTCCAAGGGCAGGCTGCCTGCTCCAAAAATAACATTTGGCTTGGATTTTGGGGAGGATTCCTTCACTGGAAGGGTGGTCAGGCCTTGGAWCAGGAGCGGTGGAGTGACTGTCCCTGAAAGTGTTTAGAGAATGGGTGTATGTGGCACTTGGGGATGTGGGTTAGTGGTGAAAATGGTGAAAATCTCAGAGGTCTTCTCCAGCCTCAGTGATTGTGGAACCACTGAGGCACTTCTGGAAGGGTCCTGTCGTGCTGCACCCAAAGGGAATCCTCTTCCAGCAGGAGACCAAACAAAATCTCCAGGTTTGGAGTCACTTTTGGGGAGCAGGGGAGGCCTGGGACCTGGGCCCCAGCTTCCTCCTCCTTGCTCCTCCCAGCTCCATCTCTACCTACCAGGCACTACCAGGAGCCTGTGCTGCTTACAGAACCCCAGGATTGGGTTGGAAGGACCTTAAAGCCCATCCCATCCCACCCCACCCCACCCTACTCCATCCCACCCCATCCCATCCTATGGATCCCATCCCATCCCATCCCATCCCATCCCATCCCATCCCATCCTATCCCATCCCTTGGATGCCATCCCATTCCACCCCAGCCATGGACAGGGACAGCTCCCACCATCCCAGGCTGCTCCCAGCCCCAATATCCAGCCTGGCCTTGGACTTCTCTGTGSCAGCCCCTCCCCACCCTCCCAGGGAACAATTTCTTCCCAAAAATCCCCCCTGACCCTGCCCTCCTTCAGCTTCAGCTCCCTCTCCTCAGGCATTTTTCTCGTGGAGCAATCTGGTCATTAAAAGGGAGACAAGATAATTCTCGTGGCTTTTGCCTGGCTGGCAAAGCTTAAAAATAATAATAATAAATGAATAACAGCCATTTCCAGTGCCCACCCATCGAAATGAAGATGTTCAAGGACTGGGAGCAGGGTTTTCCTGCTGCATTCCTTTTATTCCTATTTATTTATTTATCTGATTTTTGTTCYTCAGTGGGAACAGGGCAAACTCTGCCCGGGATGTGGTGGGTTTTTGACTTCCCCAGCCTTAATGTCCGATTAGTTCAGCAGCTTAGGGGCTGCAATTCTGGGAAGAAAAACAATGGGAATGACATAAATGTTGGAAGAGTTGGATTACACGGGTCCTGCTGCACTCAGTGACGTATGAGAGGGGTAACTTGGGTTGGAGCCTGTGAAAACTGGGGAAGCTTTTGGCTGATGTTCTGGTTATTAATTTACTCGGAGGAAAACAAAATATTCTTTGTATGAATCCTCATTGTAGGCCAAATGAAGGATGTCAGTGCTGGAGAAATCCCTCTGGCTTTGTGGGGCTGACTCACATTTGGGCATGGGCTCCGTTTGTTTGCTGAGGGGAATCTTCAATAATCACACAGCGTTTGTTTTTAATATTTCACCTCCAGATGGAGAGGAGAGATCATTCTTTAGCTTGGGTTTTGTCATTTAGTTTCCAGTTTTTGAATTTGCTCTGGTCAGCGAGGCTTTGTTTGGGGATGTTGCCTGGCAGGGTGATTTTGGGGTGAYTTCTGGTGGAATTGGGGTTCCTGAGACAGCACTGCCTTCGCTGTCAGGGATTGATCCTTCTGTGTTTTTTAAATTCCCATTTCACACTTGTGAAAGACAGCTCCCTTCAGCTTCAAAATATTTTATTATATTACAGTTTAAAAACCATTGAATAAGCTCAAATTCTGAGTTTTGGAAATGCCCCTGTTGCAAGCCCCCATGTTTTATTGGAAAATAGGTTTTCTGTAAATCCCGCGGGTTTGAGGCTGTGCCACGCCGCCTGTGCTGAATTTGAATTTTAATTCACCTACTTTGGGCTCGGGAGCACCCAATTAAATCCGTGTAGGGATTATGGTCTCTGAGGTCCTGATGCCATGTTAGATTYGGGATTATATCTGAGGGATAAACAACAAAATCAGAGTGGGGCTTTAAATAGACCTTTGGGTGTTTTGAAACCCGAGCCCCCAGCTGAGGGRGCAGAGGAGGAAAACACGGAGCGATTTTGCCTTAAAATAGTTAAAAATGACGGATTCCAATGCTTTGGCAATCCCTAATTTTCTCTTTTAAGGCTGTCATTTTCTGTGTTGGTTGACCCCTTGCTACATGGAAAGATGTTTTTATTGTGGCTTTAAACCTGTGGGATATGTTGGGTGATCTATGACCCCAAATCTTTTGTTTCCTTGCCCRTTTTTGAGGTGTTTTAAACTCATTCATTCTCTATATTTGAATTACTTGTGGATTCCAACAGAAGCCATCCCTCAGCTGAACACCRGGAATACAATTTGGGCTGAAATGCAGCTTTTACCGTCGTGTTTTCCTCTGTCAGAGGACAGATCCTTGCAGCAGCTGTGGATTTCAGTCATTTCCAAAGGATCTATCAGCACCTTCCCTTTCCACAGAATCCCAGAATGGTTTTGTTGGAAGAGGCCTTACAGCTCATCCCATTCACCATGAGTTATCCCATCCCATGGCATCCAGGCAGCTGTTAATGCTCAGTAATTGGGCAGAAATTAAAGCTGAATTCAGGTCTGTGGGGTGAGCTATGCACCCAAAGGCTGCCTTTAAAATCATGCCTTTTGGAGAGAGCTTTGAGCAGGTGCTGCTGGGAGCCTGAGCTGGTGTTTGAGCTGGTCCACTCTTGAGCTCAGACTGCCATTCAGTCGCTGGCATTTTATGTGCAAATGCCCTCTCTCTGAGATAATTCCCCCCTCGCTAATGCTCTTCATTCAGCATTCGAAGCATCATCTCGAGGAAGCGCTTTTTAAATTTTTTTTTATAGTTCTGCCTTTATCTCTCACTGGCGTTTTTCTGTCCAAAACATTCATGAAAAGCTCTTTCCTTCCTTTCCTTTTCTTTTTTCCATTCCTCCCAGAAATTCCATCAAAGCTCTGTTTTGATGGCTTAACTTCAAGCACTTGATCTTGAATATATCAGCCTTCTGATTTTTTGAGCCCTGCAATTAACGCTGACGGGCTCGATCTCTGACGTGCTCAAAGCCAACTGGAGGAGGGAGATGGAGCTGCAGCCAGGCTGAGTGAATTCAGATCAGTTTGGAATTGAATTCTGAATTCTGCTGATGATTGGCCCTGGAGGGTGTTGGTTGGTTGGTGATGCAGGATTTGCTGGTTCAAAGGGATGGAGGGGCAGAGCTGGGGGAGATTAGGGAAGGGGAAGGATGGGGCCAGGAGCACTCAGACCCCACAGCAGATCTTTCACTTGGGACCCCAGAGATCAGAAAGCTTCCAGAGGAGATAATCTCACAGGAGGAATCTTGACTTAGGGCATCATTGCCTCGATGGGGACCCGATAACGGGTGTGGTGTCACCGGCTGTCCCCAACCCAGGGGTGAACCAACACGAAAACAATCCCCTGGTCTGCGGTTTGATGTGGGCACAAATCCCCTGGTTGATTTGTGGGGTTTGATGTGGGCACAAATACGATCCCCTGGTTGGTTTATGGGGTTTGATATCGGCACTAAACTGATCCCCTGGTTTGTTTGTGGGGTTCAGTGTCGGCACAAAACCGATCCCCTGGTTGGTTTGTGGGGTTTGATATCGACACAAAAACAATTCCTGGTTTGCCTGTTGGGTTTGATACCGGCACAAAACAGATCCCCTGTTGGTTTGTGGGGTTTGCTGTCAGTGTTTTCCCTCCCCCTGCCCTGGCACCCCTCAGCCATCTCGCCCTGGGCTGGGATGACTCCAGGGTGAGGAGCTGTCCGTTCCAGCAGCACATCACAGATCAGCAGCAGCAGCATCTCACCCCACCCTCTGCTGATTCCTTCCCTCCCATCAGTGGGTTTGGGCAGAGATGGGAAACCCTGCACTAATCCCGATGGGCTCTCAGCATTTTGACTCGGTGGCTTCACTCAGAGAAGACTTTGCAGGATAATTACTATGTTTTTCATTCAAATGCCTTGCTCTATTGTTGAGTTCAGATGGGCTGGGGAACTGGGAACTCAGCTTTTTTAATGTTTGTTACGTTAAAAAGGCCGAGTTCCAAATATTTGTTATCAAGTGGCTCCATTTGATTTGGACTGCAGCCAACTCAACCCAACTCAACTCARCTCAAAACCCAATTCAACTCAACTCAACTGCGAGTTGAGTAAAAAACTTCTGAGAGGTAATCTGAGCCTAAACCCTGTTTCCTTTTGCTGGGCAGCCTCTGAGCCCAACCTGAAGCTGCGCTCCAGACTAAAGCAGAAGGTGGCCGAGAGGAGGAGCAGCCCCCTCCTGCGCAGGAAGGACGGGCCCGTGGTGACGGCGCTCAAGAAGCGCCCGCTGGACGTCACCGGCACGGCGGGTAAGTGACAGTTCCTCCTTTCCTCACCTCTTTCTCCTTTTCCAGAATGAATTCCTGGCTCTCCGTGTGCCTCGGGGGTACTGCAGSCAAGCTGAGGGATTGTCCAGCCTGGGGAGTCTGAGGCCGAGTTCCTCAGAGGGCAGTTCTCAACTCTGCTCCTGGTGACCAGGGACACACCCGGAGCTGTGTTGGGATGGAAAGTGGGAAAAAGTTTAAAAACTGTACAAATTCAGTGGTTTTATACACAAAGCTGACAGTTCCATGCTGGAAAGTCCTGTTCTCCCAGGAGCAGAGTTTGTGAGTGGGATGGGAGTGCAGGCGGTGGTGGGATTGCCATAAAGTGAATTCCTAGCACCATCTAGGGATGTGTGTGTGCAAGTGCCACCGAGTGCCAGCCCTGCCACCTTGGCTCACCCCATCACTGCCCCAAGTTTTAGAAACCTGCCTGGAGCCTGCTAGAAAAGTATCTGAGTTGTTGTGGTAAGAGGGGACTTCTAAATGGAAAATAAGTTTTAAAAACAGTCCCACTGCTGGGAATAGAAATGATGTTTAATCCCTGAAGAATGCAGGGGTTCTGGTGAGACAGCTTCCATTGGACCAGCTTGCTCCAACCTGGCTTTGARCACTGCCAGGGATCCAGGGRTAGCCACAGCTTCTCTGGAATTCCATCCTAACCCCTCCCCACCTTCCCAGGGAACAATTCCTTCCCAAAATCCCATCCATCCCTGCCCTCTGTGTCCATTCCCTGTGTCCTGTCCCTCCAACCCTTGCAGTAATCAGGTTTTATTCCTCCTGGGACCTCCTGGAGCAGTGAGGAGGCTGCTCCAGCCCGAGCCACTGCAGCTGCCAGGAGATTCTCCTGCTGCTGGGCAAATCCTGTGCTAGGGGAAGGGAAAAGTTCAAAAGGAAAGGTTTAATGTTATTTACCCTCACAAATAATAGGAGAAACACTCAGAGAGACCTTCTGAGGGAAGTTTGATGCRAGGAGGTGTCTTTGGGGTTGGAGGGAAAGAGAGTGAGCGAGGCACTCGTGGAAAAATGAAACCGAGCAACTCCGACATCCTTCAGCCTGACCTCTTCAAACCTTCCTGTCTTTTATTGTCTTTCTATCATATCCAAAGTTATTAATACACCACAAGAGAGATTCCCACGCGGAGGAGACATAAATGTGCTGAGTAGGTGTTTGGATAAACCATTTAGAAGGGTTTGTTGGGATTTTAAGAGCCCTGGCAAGATTTAGGGGCAAGATGGGGAGGAGGWCGAGGGTTGCTTTTGTCCCAGAAGGGTTTTTATTTTTTTTGGAGGGGTCTGTCTGAACACCATCCCAGAGATGATCCCTGATGTTAAAAGTCACTTTTGGGTTCGTTTTTTCAGACTCTGCCTGCAACAGCGCTCCCGGATCCGGCCCCAGCTCTCCCAACAACAGCTCCAACAACATCAGCACCGAGAACGGGATCGCCGGCTCGGTCAGCAGCATCCAAGCYGAGGTACAGAGCCCTCCTCCCACTGCTCCAGCACCAGGCAGCTTCTGGAGAGCCTCAGCCTAAACCACAGGGAAGGAAAAGCCCAGCTTGGGACTTGGAGCGGGCTTTGGGAATTCCCTCTCAGTCTGGGCTGGCCTTAGGATGCCTTACCTGTTTGTTAGATCTGGTTTAGACCAGCTCACAGCGCTTTTGTAGGGAGGAGAAAGTAAAAATAAAGGGATTCAGCAGGGTCAGATGGAAGTATTTTAATGTTTGGGGAGTTTATTCTTGTGTAGGGATGGGTTTATTGTCAGTGAGCTGGGCTGAACTGAATTAAAGGGAGTGGATTTAARCTTTTCCTGCACAACTGGTGCCATGTGCAGGTTTATAATCCCAAAAACTTTTCCCAGCACTGGAGTCTGGGTGTTGGTCTAAGTAGGACCAACCAGAACTGAATTTAAGGAGTGGATTTAAACTTTCCCAGCACAAATGGGGTTCTGAAAACCCCGTGCCATGTCCAGGTTTGTAATCTCACAAACTTTCCCCATCAGTGGAGTCATCTGCTGGTGTCCAGGGCAAGGTGAAGTGGGGCTGGGTTCAGCACAGCARCTCCTGTGTTTGGGATTCTTGGATCCCAGCTTTTCTCAGGGCTCTGGGAAGTGTTTCYCAGTGCAAACTGTGCCTGCACAAAACCCGTGTGGTTGTCTGGTGTTACTGGTGCGTTTCTTTTCATCCAGTTCCCTGTGAATATCGAGTCTGTCCCAACACCAGGGCTCCAAAAACAGCCCTGGGCTTGTTCTCCCTTTGAATTGAAAAGGCCTTCTGAGGGTGTAAATGTCAGCCCTCGTTGCTGTCTGGTTTTGCACAGATTTTCACTKTATTTTCACTTTATTTTCATTTCCAATGGAGTGTGACAGTGTTTAACATGGGCAKTGTGCCTTCTCCTGCACCCTGTGCCCTGCCAGGGTACCCAGCACCCATCCCAGCCACTCCAGCCCACAGCAAATCACAGATTGAGGTGATGAGGGTGAGCATTCACAGGGTATATGTTCCTTCATTCGCCCCCAGGAAGGCGAACCCTGAGGTTTGTTTTTTTGGATTCAGGAGCCGTCAATCCCATCTRTCCTGAGCAAACTGCAAATYCCCMRTTAYTGCTGATGGAAAACTCATSGATTTGACCATTTTTTGTGACAGAAACAGAGCAGGCAGCTTCCCACAAGTCACTGACCACCAGCAAAAATCTTTCCATCAACTTTGTAAAGCAGCAGTTTTGTGATTTAGGCTGAGGCACGAGCAGCACTAATGATTTGGAAAAAAAAACCAGAAGTCCTGAAGCCTTTCCCATTCCCAATGAAAAATAACTCTGCCCTTTGTTCCAGCATTCATGTGATCCCAGCTGATCTGTTGGCCTGTATTTGGGACAAAATAAGTGGGGTTTGGTGCCTTTGAAATCTTCAGCAGGAGTTGCATGAGGGAGCTCAAGTGCTGGAGATTCCTTTAACACCGGAATTTCCCATGTAGTCACCATTAAACGTTTAGAAATATTTAAGTATTTCTGAAAAGGTAAAGTTGAGTTTCATCCTTAGCTCCATGCTTTATTTTAAATGGGAAATTTAAAATAGAATTGCTGCTTCTCAGTTTGAAGCAGGGATGTTGGAAGATGGTTCCCAAGCTCATGATTGAAGTGCCTTCAGTAGGGAAAGAAGCTCTGCCTTCTTTAAAACAGGCACTTTCTGTTTGGAAATCTTTTTTTAAAATGGGGTTTTTTGCCATTGCAGTTGGTGCAAGACTGCAAAAACCACTTTTTGKCCAGCTGCAAATGGTACCTGCAGAAATGGCTGTGTTTAAAGYGATGATAATTCTGCCAAATCCCATGTGCTGAGAGCATCAAGCTGCTGTGTTCTGCCTCGCTGTTTGCACAGCAAATCCTCAGGAGAGGCTTTGAGGCACAGCTCCGGAGTATTGATGGTTCAGAGGGAAAATGGATGTAGTTTGGTTTCATTTACGATATCAGGGAAATATTTCGTTCCTGTGCTGACAATAAGGAGCTTCTTACAATGGCACGGTGACGTGATGTAATTTAAATTAAAGGGAAATTGCCAGGAGCGCTCAGAAATCGCTGGGAAGGGGAAGTGTGTGGGTACAAACAATCACGGCRAGAGTCACTTCATATTACAGAGAAAAATGAAGTTTTTTACAGCGARGCTGTGGAAAAAATGGCAAAGGKWGCCCAGAGAAGCTGTGGATGTCCCTGGATCTCTGGAAGTGTCCAAGGTCAGGTGGGATTTTGGGTTTGGAGCACCCTGGGATCGTGGTGTGGGGTGGGACAGCCTGGCCTTGGACAATTCCAGMGATGGGACAGYACAGATTGTCCCAAAATAGACCATTAAATTTAACAAAATCCCCTTTTTCACAACACCACCCCAGTTTAACAGGCTCCTGCAGAAATCTGCTGGGAGTCTCATTTCTATTTACATTGGAAAGTCACCCACAGAGACTTCAGGGTGATCAGAGCAGCACTTTCCTAACAGGAAAATTGGGCAGTTTATTGTAATTTTCGTAATGGTTTTTTTCTAGTGCGTAGTTCAAATCAGTCTTGTTTGGAAATTAAAGGTGTTTTTGCTAAAGTGTTCTCGCTTCAAACGCCCCTAAGATAACGGAGCAAATCTGGCATTTCACCCTGAAAGTCAGGAAATAGCTCCTTAAATGCAACCTGAAGGCTTTTGGATGAGATTTTGCATTCTGATTTATGCTAGTAAATAACACAAATTGTCTGTTATTTGCTAAAGAGAAAAACACCGATTGCAAAGCTTTTTTATTTTCCCCGAGATAATCTGTTTTACCTTTAAAAGGGCAAATGCTTGGAGAAGGATGAGCACCATGGGAACAGCGTGTGGGTGCTCAGGGTGGGTTTAGGGTGGATTTTAGGAAAAAGGGTGTGGGCACTGCCGGGGTCCTCAGGGAATGGGCACAGGAGCGTTTGGACATCGCTGCCAGGGATGGCCAGGGTGGGATTGCCGGGGCTTCTGGGGTTGGATTTGGTGATCCCGGTGGATGCCAGCAGCTCTGGTGACTCTGTCCCTTTTGGTGAGGCTGTCCCCGTGTCCTGGTCTGTGCATGGGCTCTCACTAGGCTCTGTTTTGTCCCCAGACCAGCCTGGCTCACAGACTGGTGACCCGCGAGGGCTCCGTGACGCAGCTGCCCCTCTACACCTCTCCCTCCCTGCCCAACATCACCCTCGGGCTGCCTGCCACCGGCCCTTCCAGCGTGAGTGGGGTGGGGATCGGCCTGGGGATGGGGGACTGGGGTGGGATCAGCCTGGGCATGGGGG